AACACTGGCTTGCAGCAGTGGTCCTGCATTTTTCCCATTCTCCTCTCATTCCTGGAAAAGAGGTCATGCCATTCCTTTCCACCTTCTCTGGCACTCATTTTAGCCCTATTTGAATGAGTTCAGCTCAGTAAACCGGCTGAAAATGACAAGTTTTTCCCTTGATGTGTTATTTTTTTGCTGACTTAGCAGGATTCTGCCATATCACAAGTGCTCCAACTTCTCAGGTTGGGTAAAAACTTCAAAAGTATCACCAGGTAAAATAAAGCAAGGAGAGCACATTTCCAGATATTTAATCTCTCTGCTATTTTTCTTGTAATGGCTATTACAAAAATAAAGTGGAAGTCACCTCTTTCAGTTCCAATGAGCTACTAGATTAGCTCAGGAAGTCTTACAGGACTGCAGCCTTAAGCATGCCACGCTGGCAGATGTTTGGGAGCCCCATGAAATCCCTTTGGACCAAAAAATAAACTATTACTATAGCTAAACACTGAAACAGCCAACCCCAAGAGCTTACCTTAATGTACAGTTTTGGATTACTGAGACCTACAGCTTTTCACAAAGCCCAAAGATCAATTAATCTTTTTAATGGGAAACAACTGAGTGTCTTTCACTGTAAAAAGTTTACAGTGTTGCTTCTCTTTCCCTAATTTTGCCTCCCTCAAAACCTTGCAGTAGCTAAAGTGAACTAGCATAGGGTTACAAGAAAAAAAGGTCTGGGATATGTGAAGGCCTCCTTAAATTTGCTATCTATCAGTGGAAATATGACAGTGAAGTGCATGGTCCAATAAAAATAAATTGAAATTTGGGATTACTATTTCTGTATCCAAAATGCAATGACCACATTATGCAAAGAACTGATCTGACAACAACAACAAAATTCCCTTTTGCAGGTTGAGATTTGTTTAAGACTTTACTGATTTTGCATCATTACAGTTTATACCAGATTAGACATCACCTGCTCTCAAGCAACTGGCAGAAAGGTCTAAACCTGGGATAAATTGTTTTTTATATAGTCTGGCTAATTCTATAAAAATGTGACCATATGCTCCTCCCGATCCAGAACAAACACATGCTGTTAGGTGAGCTGGTGATGGGATACAGTAACACTGTCAAATCACAGCCTTAGGGAAGCTACAAAAATCCTGGTGATTCAGGTCATCATCTCACAACTAGCTCTCAGTATTATTCCTCCTAAAGAATCCATTACCCATCCAGGACAGAGGCAATAGTGACATCAGGAGTACATGGTGAAGTATATAGGTAGAATATTGCACATGGTGCTACTTTTCCCTTAATCCCCACATATTTTACAGTAAACACCCCAGTAAAATTGGGGAACTATGAATGGTGGTCAGTCTAAGAAATGGATAGTCACACTGAGAAACACATGAAAAACAGCAATATACTTAAATTTTAGAGCCTTGTTTTAATAAGGTATTTATTTTTACAAAAGACATCTTACCAATCATATCCTTATGTCCTTATGACAACATTCCACACTCGTTTTTGTTTGTTTGTTTGTTTGTGGTTTTTTGTGTGTTGTTTTTTTTTTTCTTGTGTTCTAATCACCAAATTGAGCCCTGGTTTTACATCTGATCTTAAAATCAAATTTTATTTTTCAGTAGTTGTACTAAAAGGAATATTATGTATTTAGAGGATATCAGCTTCAAATTCTCCACAAGAAAAAAGGTTTCTCTCAAGCTAATGGTGCACTAAAACGCTGATGGCATAAAAACAAATGCTTGTTTGGTCTTGTTCTGAAACTTAAGTCTTGCCCTCTGGCCAAGAACCAAATGTGCTACCAGATGAGTGATACAGAGACACTGAAGAGCAACATGAGAGAGTGAGACTGCCAAGACTGCACTGTATCACTTTCATATCCAAGGCTTTTGTCTGAGTTAAAAAAACTCAAGCACATACACACAGAAAAACCACCCCAAAACAAAGAAAACAACTAAAAAAGCCACAAACAAGTAATCCTTTGTCTGGAAGCTTGTAAACCTATTTGTGACTGTACCACAAGGAGCTTGGTAATTCTCATGCAGCATTACCACTTCCAGCAGAAACCAGACACTTTGACTTTATGCTAAAAGTGTTTTTGTATGTTTTCCATCAAACAGTTAGGTGTCTGTGAGGAATTTTGTTTTCTTTTTGGTTGTGAATAGAAAGCTTTGTTGATTTTAATTTAGCTTGAATGCTATTGACAGGCAGAAGTCAGACCTGTAAATGAAGTGTTCAGATTACTAAATATCAACAAGAAAAACACCAGTAAATATGTATAGGATATTATTAATGTTTTAGCTGAGAAAGAGATGATCTACCCTGAATAAAAGAAACTGCTATGTAGGTTAGGATACATTAAGAGTTAAAAAGAGAGAAAGGATGCTTAAATGTACTTATGCAATGTGATTTCTGACACTACATAATAAGTCAAGTTTCAGTTTCAGTATGGGATACATATTTTGATATAGTTGTCAAAGACAAAGGTTTTTTTTATAAGTTGGTTTAGAAAATGAACAATCAGCAAAATCATTACATGACAGTAGAATTGCATCTACATTTCAGATCTTGTTGAAAGAGAAATACCTTGAAAAATTAAACACCTGCAACTAATATTGCTACATCAGTAAAAAAATCTATTGTAAAAAAAATCTATTGTAGACATGGAATAAATGTTAAATATTGCCTTTGTCTATGGACCTGTGTAAGCAGCATCCTCCCATATGAAGCAGGACATTCCCACAATTAGAGTCCAAAGTCAAAACTGCAAAGGTAATGATTCTGGTCTTGACTGTACTGTGCTGTCCCATAGAAACTTTCCAAGTTAAAAGTTCATAAGAACCACATCTAGATTCCACAGTCAGTCTAGTAATCTGTACCTCATGGAAGGAGTATTGCTGAAGAAAACTAAAAGTTTAGGGATGCTCTTTTTCTAAAACTAGGTAAAATTTATCTCTGAAGTTAGTGAATGACATCTGCTCTCAAAAACTAAGAAGAAGGAAAATAACTGAAAAGGCCAAAAAGAACCATCTAAAATCCTAACACGTTGAGAAAACACTGATGAATATAACAGGAAACAATCTGGAATGGTAAAAAAATAGTCTAGACAAATAAATGAGAGTTTTCCCATTACCAGTGACATTATCCAAATGAAAAAATTGCTAACATTTGATATTAATAAATTTGCTTTGGAATTTTAGCATCATTTTTTTCTTAAAGGATATTTGGTGAAACAGCATTGTTTTCTACTCCAGGGACTCAACTGATCTGTCTGCAAACTGCAGGTATCACTTAATTGGTGCACTGTAGCAGTTCTTTGCTACTGCAAAGCCAATAAAGAGCTTTATCATATTTGGGTCTGTGGAAAAAAATGCATTTAATAGTTAAAACTAAAAGTATAATGATCTAGATTTTGGACAGCTTGCATTTGGAATAAAAGGTTTACTTGTGTCAGATAGCCCAGCAGAGTTTTATACAGCTTTATAGAAAAGTGCCTTACAAAAGGTATAAGCCATTTATAAAGAATATTCCTTCTGAGTCTGAATTGTGGAAAAACACTTAGAAGGAAATGATTATATGACTCTACACTTTTGTAAGTAGATAGGGTAGGACTGACTTCACAGGGAAAAGAGATCCAGTCTAAAATTATTTTGTTTCTATAAAATCCAAAGCACTCAATGGTATTTGCTTTAAAAAACCTATGAAGACCTTTATTGAAAGAAAATGTGGCTTTTCAGGAGTGATTTAGACTTCCCTTGGCAGCAGATACCGATGGACTAGGTACAGAAGGTTGCTTGCAACTGGCTACTTTCTCTAAATCTGTGCCAAGATTCTTCCAGATCACATAAAAAGAAAATGCTTCTGGTTTAGCCCATATGCAGCAGGCAGAAGTAACTCTCTACCTTCTGTAGTGATTATTTATTCCTCTCTGCTGCACCCACTTTTACTTTGCCCTGCTGAGAAAATAAATGGGCTTATTTTTCATTCAAGAGTCCACATCTGGGCAATCGCCATTCCCCCGTGCCTCCTGTGCAATCATCATGGCCTGGAAGGATTACTTCCTTGCTTTCATGTATACATGCCACTTGGAGGAGATGGGTCTCAGAAGAATAGGTATCTAAGTGTAACAGGAAAGAGTCATGGACAAGCAGAGCCCGAAAGGAAAATGGAATGTTATAAATGGATGAATGGAACAAAATGAGATCAGAAAGATGGACCTTGTGTCGCAAAACAAGGAAAGGGAATTATTAATGGTGGAGGTTTCATGGAGGATCCCCGTGGGTGCTGCAGCAGTGTCAGCCTCAGGGCACTGTGATGGAGCCTTGTTTGCACCCCTCACAGAGCACCCGATTTGGGCAGGAGCACGTCCACTTTTCCTCCCTCCTCCCTGGCAGCACTAAGGAGTTCATTTGGCACACGAGGCATCGCTCCTAAGGGCAGGTATACACAAAAGTCCTTGATATCATTAGTGATGTCACCTTTTTCCCCTGCTGCGGGAATTTTATTATTTGGACCTATTCAGCACTTCTCCCACCCCCAATACACCTTTCTCTGTCCTCTCCCAGACCTCTCGGGTACTTGTCATTTCCGGATGGGGCCCCGCGGGAGTCGCGGCGACGAGAGCTGCTCCCCACGGTGGTAAAACGAGAGATCAGCGGGAGCTGCCGGCCTCGTCCTGCCCTGCCCCGCTCGAAGCATCCCGGGATAACACCAACCGCTCCGGGGCCCGGAGAGAGGAGCGAGGAGGGGGCGTTTTGTCGCTCAAGACGCCTCAGCCTCTGGGCAGGGGCGGCCGGCTCCCTCCGGTATCGCTGTCTCAAGAAAGGAGGAGGAGGAGGGTTTTCTTTTTCCATTCCCCCCACCCCTCCCTCTTTTCCAACCAGTAAAGAGTGTGTCTGCCCCTTTGAACCGTCGGCACAGCGCCTGCGGCGGCACACACACACAGACACACACACACCGCCGGCTATAAATAAGTTAAGAGCCGGGCAGAGGGCGAGCAGTGCGCGTCTGCCGGCGGGACCAGGAGGCTGGGACAGCCCAGCCGAGCCTCCCCAGCGGCTCAGCCCGGCCCACGGACGCCGGACCCGGGGGAGCCATGGCGTGCGTGGAGCGCTGCTGCCGCTGCTGCGCGGAGGGCAGGCGGCACAGCAGCATCCTCTACAGCATCCTACGGAGCCAGCAGCGCCAGGAACGGGCGGCGCCGACGGGACAGGCTCCCCGCGGCTGCCCCTGCGGGTCGAGGCGGCGGGTGGCCCTGCGGAGCCCGCAGGTGGTTTGCAAGGCGGCCTCGGCCGTGCTGGTGAAGACGCTGCGCTTCGTCCAGAACGTGCCCTGCTTCCAGGAGCTGCCGCTGGAGGAGCAGCTGCTGCTGGTCCGCAGCTGCTGGGCGCCCCTGCTGCTGCTGGGGCTGGCGCAGGACCGGGTGCCCCTGGAGACGGTGGAGAGCGCGGAGCCCAGCATGCTGCAGCGCATCCTCACGGCCCGGCGTCACGGAGAGCAGCCCCCGCCGCGGGTACCCGCACCGCCGCCGGGCCGGCAGCACCACGGCCCGCACCTGCCCTCGGCCGGAGAGATCCAGGCCATCAAGGGCTTCTTGGCCAAGTGCTGGAGCCTGGACATCAGCACCAAAGAGTACGCTTACCTCAAGGGGACGGTGCTCTTCAACCCGGGTGAGTGGCCAGGCGGGGCCAGCCCGCTGGTATCCCCAGCGAAGTGGGGCTTTTCCTTGGGGAAAAGAGGTGGTGGAGGAGGGGGACGAGGAGCAAGGTTTCACCCTCTGCCCCCTCCTTAGGACTCCGGCTGTCAAGCAGGGAGGGTGGCCGGCGGCGGCCAGGTCTGGTATCCCGAGGGCTGGCGCCTTCCATAGAACAAAGAGAACCTGGCCGGTCGCTTAGGGAAAGTTGGGAGTCAGCCGCGGTTCCCTGTTGGTTTCGGAGCTTCCGCTCTGCGGGAGCGTGTAAACTCCCCACGCCCGCCCGAGGGTCGCGGGTCTGCCCGTGCTGTTCCCGGGAGGTCTGCACTCCCTGGAGAGCAAGAGAGGGCTCAGGGCTTCAGCAACGAAGTGCTGTTTTGGCTTTGTGTGTAGCACTTGTTTACCATCTCTGTGGACGCTTCTATATACCACACCGATGCTCAACCAAAGGCTTATTATCATGTGGGTGACTCACCTTAAAGGTAGCTGGCAGGCTGGATCCGGCATTTCCCAAGCATGGCAGTACCCTGTGAAAGTGGGACAGGGATCTTCCTCCGCTCCCACTGTCAAACTGTTAGTTACTGATGGTTAAGTTTGTATAGTGTTACTTTGCATTTATCATACTGCTCATTTAGCTCTGCTTTCCATAGAAATAAGAGAGAAAAAGTTACAATGGTGAAGCTAATGTGACACAAGTCAAATTCTGAAGCTGGTTTAATAAAAAAAGATAGAAAGATTATTCTGGTAGGAAAAAAAAAATCTTTCCTTGAAGGGTGGTCAAGCGTTGGACCAGGTTGCCCAGGGAAGTGGTTGAATCACTGTACCCAAAAGTGTTCAAAAAATGTGTAGATGTGGTGCTCAGGGACATGGTTTTAGTGGTGGACCTGGCACTGTAAGGATAATGTTTGGACTTAATGGTCTTGGAGGTCTTTTCCAGCCTTAATGATTCTGTGGTCACAAACAGCCTTAATTCTGCAGCCTCTGTCTTTCAGTATCCTTACTGTGGTTCACTGGAAAACTTTCCGTCATGTGTTGGAGTCAGCACTTCTTGCCACTTGTAAACCGGAGCAGAAACAGTTATCAAAGGAAGCCTTAAATGAGAATGTCGAAGGAAGCCTTAAATGTGACTTATTTTTGTAGAAGTGAACAACTTAAAAAAGTTATTTTTATTGTCTAGCCCACTCTAACATTGTTTTGGAAAACATTCTTCAGTCAAAGTTTTTATCAATCAATTTGTTTAACACTTAAGTGAATGTTTACAAACATCATATTTGTCTATAGAAGAAGAGTATTAAAGGTCCTGAATACCAGCACAATAAGACTTTGTTCTGCCCAATAAAATTTAATATGTTTATTCTGCATAAAAAAAGTCCTATGGCAATTTAATTTACTTCTTTCCTTGAGTGATGATTACAATCTATGAGCTCTTAGTAGTCGTTCTGTAAGAATGGTGTTGTTTTAGAAAGAGAACATATGTAAACAAAATAATTTATTGTTCTTTTCAGATCTACCTGGACTGCAGTGTACACAGTACATTGAAGGACTGCAGAGGGAAGCACAACAAGCTCTAAATGAACATGTCAGACTCATTCACAGAGGTGATGAAGCCAGATTTGCCAAGCTGAATGTTGTTTTATCTTTGTTAAGATCTATTAATGCTGATGTGATGGCTGAATTATTCTTCAGGCCCATCATTGGAGCGGTGAACATGGATGATATGCTTTTGGAAATGCTTTGTGCAAAATTATAAAGACATGTAAAATAATGAAAGTAAGTCCAGTGCAAAGGAAGCCCTAGAGCAGAATAGTGTAAAGTATTGTAAATAAACTAACTTATTGTTTTTACATAGATAGTATTTTTGTATTCCATAATAAAATATTCTTCAAGATCTGAAATGAATTTTTATTAAACAGTGCTTTTAGAATAAGATTACGGTCATCAAAACAAGCTTTAAGGTTGTGGAGAATGTTCATATCCAAAGTCAAATGGTTATTCTTTTACCATGTCTCTGAACAATGAACACACTTACTATATTGTACTTTCAAGGTGAGTAATCCCTCCTTTTTCAAAATAAGCAGAAGTCTAGGTTTACATTTTAAGCATAATTGGCAGAAAACAGGAAAGAACAAGCCATTTACTTTGCATATTTCAGTAATATTAGAATAAGATACTATAGCAACCATTCTACTCACAGTTCAAATAATGGCTCTATCAAAGGCTTACTTCTATTGACTTTAACAGAGTTGAAGTCTATGAAGATTCAATACTCACCTAGGGTTTTCTTTGATATGGGGAAGATGCATTAAGAATATTTTGAGGCTTAATGAACCTTAAAGTAGCTTCATCAGCTCTAATGTGTGCAGTAAAATATTCTATTCAACACACATTGGGATCCAGGAGAATAAAAGAACTCTGCTCCCCAAAACAACAAATAAACAAAAATGCCTCTAAAAATATCCGAACAACAAATGCTTATTAGCATCTGGAGAATGAGTAGGGCGGACTCTGCACTTTTCTTTGCTTTTCATGTAGATAACTGCTAGCTGGGATTTCCATAGTCAGATTCTTCAGACTACTTATTCCCATGGAAAAATGAAACTATTATGCTGAAATATAGTGTAACACTGGTACATCCATCAAAATTTGTCAGCTATCATGAAGATGTCTTAATTAAGCATTGAGCTTAACACTTTTTTTTGTTTTTGTTGTGTTGGACTTGCTTCTTTCTCCTGAAGAAGTTGTGATTTTTCTGAAAAAAAAAAAAATCCTATTTTAAAAATAAAATCATAAAGGGAAAATCAGTGATTTAAGGGGAATTTGTTGCTTTTCCTTTCTTTTCATGCACCTTTCTAGCCTTTTCCCTGGGGAATATTGGTAAATAATGAAGAATTAAGTGTGACGGTGTTCCCAAAGTAAACAATATCAGTAACTTTCTCTGTTGTTCACACATATATTTACCATTAGCAACAGGTGTCTTTTAAAACACAATTAATAAAGTTGAAGCAGTAACTCTCCCTGATAGGGGGTGTGCAGGGAAATGGAACAAGTATGAAGAGCTTTCTTTTGCTGCCACCTTGCGCAAAGCCTAATCACAACTCCTACACTAACGTAAGGATCAGGGGGACTCTTGTTGGCTTGTACCTACCTGGATAAAACTTATGGGAAGTAGAAATGAATAGAGAGGTAGCCAGACATTCCTACAGGTTCAAGTTCATCCATAAATTTTATCACTGAAATTTGTATTACCATGGCAATAAAAGTCTCCTCATGGACTAGGAGACCATCACTGAGCAAACAAAACAGAGCAAGAAACACTGCTCCCATCCTGAAAAGCTATGGTGTCCATAAATACATACTGCTCTGGTGCTCACATAACTGTCTGGGGTTGTGTGCCATGAGGAGCTCTCAAAAAATTCAAAAGAAATAAAAATATATAAATAAAGTAAACTTTACTACCAGTGCAGACTTCACACCAGCTCAGACCATAATAGAGCAGGCTTAGTCTTTGTTAAGTTGATCCTTTTATGTGTACACACACATGCATATCCACACCTATAACAAATATAAACATCTACATATGGATAATATTTATTGTGTATGTGTAGGTGTTCTATGAGTTTACAAAAGCTTCTGAGCTTACTTAATGTCTCTGTAACATAAATATACGTCTATGTTTCCCTCTTTTTCTGCAAACAGCATATGAGATTACAGTAGTTAGTTTTCAAGGATGCCTGAAATAGGATGCCCCTTCCCATAAAAGTCCAAAGTGTGATGATAAACATTTCAATAGTGATTAGCAAATGATGAATCTTGAGTAAGGACTAAACAAACTCCAACAACCTCAGAATAAAACAACTTAATTGACACTGAGAATGTATTAATATGCACACTAGTGTCCAGACTCTTCTTCTAAGTAGCAGAAGAGACTTGCTTGCTGTACTCCTAACAATTAAATGTAATAGCTGAACCTTGGTCACAGGCCAGCATTTTCAGCTGAGCAGTCACCTTGAGACCGTTTGGGTCTATTGTGCCACTAAATACAAAAGTTTTGATGACTTGGGGGGACCTGCTTACACCTCCAGGTTTGATCTCTGAACAAATTCTGTATTCTGCTCAATTTTCTGAAGTTGTCATGAAAAATATGCACAATGAATACACCTTGAACTATACTCTATTGTATCTCTCTTGGACCAGCAATACCGTTTGTCATTTAGCTGCTGTCTATTCTAATGGAAGTACATGGGAACATATGTAGAGAATCTGAATGGGAAAACAAATTTATCAAGGCTTTTTGCAGAGAAATGGCAAAAAAAAAGTGTCTCTTCATAGGTCAGAGGAAGAGGAATGACAAAGTAAGTCTTGGAGGAGGAACCAAGTTGAAGGCTTGGGAGAACCATGCAAGAATGGAGGAGAAAAGATTGGTGGGGTTCTGGACCTGAGTGGTGAAGGGTCTGATTTTACTGTGGGGGCATTGTGCTAAGAGTTGAGTAGAAGCAGTTGGAGAGAGATTGTAACTCACAAAACATGCCCGAGTCTGAGCAAAAAGGTCCCTGTGGGAGGATTTTCTGTCGAGCCCATAAAATTTGCAGAGCAAGGAAGAACCAACCCCAGAAGCTGACACAGAGGAGGACACACGCATCCTCAGTAACCTGCTGGAACAGGTGGTCTGTTCTCTCCTCCACTGTGCTGCTGCTGAAGAAAGGGCCATACTGGTAGCTGTGCAGGCATGAAGAGCAGATGCTCAGCCCTGTACCAGCAAATAAATGCTGCTTGCAGGATTAAGTAAAACTACTCACTTGCCTCTCACCTTTGAACCTGAGCGCTCTGTAGCACATTTTTGTACTGCGTAGGAAGAGTACCGAGCTAGATCCTTTTCTGCCCCACCTTGGCCCTGTGCAGGGTGGGTGAACTCTGAGTCAGATAGCCTACATGGCCATGGCCACTCCTGTAACACAAGAGGTGATCTTTCTGGATGTCTCAGGCAGCAGGGGTAGGACAGCCTGCTGGAGGCCTGAGGGAAGCAGGGGAGAAGGGAAAGCCGGATGTAGGAGAAGGATGCTTCCATGGTAATGTAGCCTTTACTAGAAGGAGCTTCAGGCGGTGTGTCAGACCACTGTTAGCTGGCTATCTGGGACTCCTGAGGAGGGAAGGTCCTGCCTCTAGCCCTGTGTGCTGCTGAGCAGTGTTACGCTGTGCTGTGAGTACTGCACTGTCAGAGGCAGCACAGCATTTGTCCTCAAGCTCTTAAATGTACCAGTAAGGCAGCTTTTTACTTCAATACTGACATGACTTCTAAGGATTTTTTTGCATTTTCTGTTTGCTCTCTATCTTTCCCATTCTGGACCTGATACTCCTCAGGAGCACCCTTTTTTTATAGCCCTACAGAGTGTTAGAGACATTTTAACTAAGAGCAGCCTCCCAAGAAATTTAGTCCCAAAATCCCCACAGTGACTGCCATAGATAGATGCATTGCTGTACAAATAACCATTCCCACCACTTCAACGTAGATGTCCATTGCTCTGTGTCAGATCTGTGACACCACCAGTCCAGACACCAGCTTCTCATCACAAAGCACCATGTGGCAGAAGTTACTGCTGTGTGATATCCTCTCCCCTGAAGAAATCTGAGATGGGATAATTTAGAAACCAAGTTGCATTTTCAGTATATGATTATGAGTACTTCTTTTAGGTAAGAAAAAGCATAGCATTTATTTATAATCTTACTTTTCTGAGCTTAATATTTAACCTTTGTTTTGATAATCTTTCTAGTAGCTTGCTTTAAACTTTGCAACATTTTGCTGTAGTGGGTAGACTGTGAATGCTGTTAATGCCTAATAAGTAGTAACTTTCCTACCAAAGGTGTGATTTTGCAACTTAAATTTTCTTGGTTTGAATTGGCCTCATATACTGGCTTTAATCGCTTATACTCCCAGTCATTTTCATTTCTTTTCAAAGACAGAATTTATTCCCGTAGTGGATCTTTTGGGCTTTGCAATATACGGCAAAAAATATAATAAAATAAAATGAAATAAAATGCCAAAAAGGCCAGTTGGTGATCTGTTTTTCCATCACTGAAGAGTGTAAGCAAATATTATATCAAGACATTTTGAAATTTTGAGATCTGCACACAGATATTGCCTCAGGACTCATAATATTTATTTTAAATTTTTGAAGTCTAGTATTTTAAATCTGAAATGCACAAAGTAAGATTCAATAGCTGAAACAACTAGAGACTGGCAAATGAACTTTGACATAAATATCCTTAAATCAACAAGCACCGTTAGGTCACAGGACTATAACTTGTTAGCTCTATGCAAATCCATGAATCATTCACATTGTTGATATAAATCATGTTTTTAATATAAATCAGTAGTCATTTCATTGCTCATGTCAATAATGAAATTGGCCCAGATTCCTTTACATATTCACAGGGTGCCTAGATGTGGGTAAATAACCACACAAGTGTTATACAAGCACACATGATACACAGACACATTTTCTTCTGTGTATGCTCATGTTATTTGCTTATTTTATATCAGGGAAATTACACTAATTCCAGGCTCAGAAAAAAGTACCTGTTCTTTTATTGTATATACACACTCACTATTTTGTCACATAGGAAGAATTTCACCTTGTTTTAACTGAGCTGCCTGAAAACTCGACATCCAGTCTGGTGGGGGCATCGAGGCTCTGGAGAGGATGGAGAGCCACAAAGACACTCAGGTGCTGTTTGATCCCTGCATCCCTATTTTAGGGTGGCATCATTGATTTGTACTTTGCAGAATAAGTCTAGATTCAAGTTATACACTGAACTGTCAATCACTAACATTTGCTAAAGTGAAACTTTGGAGTCACTCTCACTTCTGGCAAAGCATTATCCGTCTTCTCTCAGCTAA